TGATAAAAGGGGAAGATTTCTCTTTTATATAATTTTGTAAAGAACGTTCTAGGAAATTTATTGAAAGGTTATTAGGTGGGTTCCGAAATTTAACAAAAGGGGTAGATTCTTTTTTAATCGTTTAAAAGACATTGTAGGAAACTTGCTAGTACGTCGTAGAATTACCTAGTAGATAGGTTGTAAGTACTAAGCAAATCCCCCCCCCCCCCCCCCAAATGTAAAACGAGCGAGGAATAAAAAGGGCAAAAATAGAGATTGATTTTTTAAATTCTCCCAAAGCAAATTTTCAAATGGAGAATATTTATTACCATTTGAGATAGTCCTAAGTCTTCATTTCCGGGCATGTCAAAATTTAGATACTTAAATACAATAAATCTTCCTAATCCAGATTTCGGTAAATTAGGTAGATATATTTCCTATGGCAAATATTAATAAGAAACATTTAATTTAATGAAATTTCCGATATTATTAAAAAATGATAGCAATTATTTGAAAATATTTAACCTGGTAAATAATAACATCCACAATATTCGAATAATTTCCAAAACTTTCACCTAATTTTACCACGCGTGGAATAAATAAATAAATATATAGTGGTCAACCAAAATCTGATACCACTGCGATGTACAATAATTAAATCGTAGTGCAAGTATAATTAAACTCCAATCAAATGACTGACTGCGAATCACCCATCACTGATCTAGGAACTTATTCGATGACAATTACGTTCGATTTAAAATATTAAAACAAAATCCACCAAAAAATTCGCTATTGAAACAACAAAGAAAAGCATCCGCCAAAAGTTGCCCTGAAAAATTCGAGAAAAAGAGAAATAATAGAGAAGATAATAGAGAATAATAAATAATAGAGAATATAAGAAGAGAAATCTGAAAATGGTGTATAAAAATTCAGAAACTGGTAGCCAGCAGTCAGGACGCGTTAAGAAATCGGAATTTCGAATCGATCGGAGAAAGAAGGATCCCCATAGTCCCGGGAGTCTCGGAGATCCGCCACCCCCTGCATCCCCGGCCATATTCCTCCTTGGAAGAACTTTTCGTTCGTATATTTCGAGCATCCTTCCTATATTCTTTCGCTAGAAAGAAGGGGTCGGAGCGGCACGGTGCGCGCGATGAAACTTTTAATAAATGGCGGAGTCGATATGAAGTATAGGACTTTGACATATCGTGTGTCTGTAATGTATAGTTAAATCTGGCGGCAGATGTGGCGGCTGCTCGCCTCCCTCTCGCGCTCTCTCGCACTCGTTCTCCTCTCTCAGCCATCCGCGCCCTCGTTCGCGTTGCGACTCTCGGCTGTCGCCCTTCCGATCTCTCTCTCTCTTTCTCTCTCTCTTTTTCTCTCTCCCTCTCTCTCTCTGTACCGAAAATTTTCGATTTTTACCCGCTGCCGCGATTCGATACGCGTACGCGTGGCGTGGATCAATTTTATAGAGCGTAGATCTCGCGGGAGACTGTTCGTTCGCGATGAAATCGTGCGTGGGAATTTTTGGGATTTTGAAAACAGTAGAATAAAATTTTCCAGGGCTGTAGCATGCCAGGAAGTGGTATAGACTAGCGATTTTCGAAAATTTGACGGTATTTCGCGAGATTCTTTAAGTGCACCGTGAAAATTTTGACAGCAAATAGGCTTAATGTGACTATCCAACCGCGGCTGTTGAGATTGTCAAGTAAATAAACTCAGATATGACATCCCGACAGAGAAGAGATAGTAGTCAGCAGCAATTTTCAAAGAAATATTACAAAAATTTGTAAATATACAGTATTAAACGATTTTATTTACCCTTTTCCCTTACACTGTCAAATAAATCAAAGTAACCGTGGTATTTCCTTCTACAAATGCAATCTTTCCATTATTTGATAGAATCTTGGTAATTATATCTGTTGCAGTAAAAACTAAGCAATAAAGTAAACTCTACATCCTAGCGATGTGGGGGCGATCCCTTTCTCTGTGTTTTATCTTTTGTCTCCTGTTTTCTGAAGACGTCCTGTGACCTGCGTGGCCCTAAACAGGGTTTCTAACTGTTCGCCCGTTCAATAAAGATCTATACAGTTTTTCCACCGTTTCCACTGACTGCTATTCCTTTGCGTTACAACCCCTTTAACGATATCAAGCATGGTGTAAGAAGAAAAGTTGAAAAATCGCTATAATCAGTATAAGAGTCTATTGACAAGAAATACCCTTTCAGAGACTAGAGATCCACTCCCGAATCTACATTGCTCCCTAAATAAATCTTCAAATCAGGTTAACAAGAGTCCAAACGTGATTTCACGTCCGCCCAGCGATCTATCACATTTTTTCCTGCGAAAGGTCCCCACACCTGAATTCGTAACACGATTGGCAGCAGCCCGAGGAAATGCATATTATTGAAAGGCGTCTGCGACGCAAGAGAAGGAAAGAAAAGAGGAAGTTACGAGCGATTGATCTACGTTGCAGGGTGCATCGCGCAACGAGGGTAGTGGCACGAATTTTTTGCCAGGGCGAAACGGTGGCAAAGTTTTCGATCAAACCGGCTGTCTAAATGAGAGCTTCTCCACAAAGCGGATCGGGGTAATCTGTCATCAAAACTGCCCCATGGCAAGTCGCAGCAGCCGGCGCCCCCATCGGCCGGAAACCGTAGCTACAACGTCACATCCACCGTTTCATCCCTGACTCCACTATCGAATTTACTACCCTCGTAAAATTCCCAACGATTTTCTCGGCACATTCAGCGATCGAAGGAATGTCTGGGTCACGCGAAACCTTGCACCATCGTTTCCTGAATTATGAATGAGCCTCTTTGCATAAACCGCTTCCACCCATCATTTTTTATCCAATTTTTTGGATATTCTTCCGTTTTGACACGATTTTGAGCGACCAATCAATGGCCGATGCGTACCATCAACGCTCTGCACTCCGAAAATATTTGTATTCCATCGATGAGTAACTGTGGCACACTTTTGGAGTAAGAAGTATCTCGTAATCGAAGATTCGGTTTCGGGAAGAAGAAAATTCGAAGTATCTGTGAATTTATTCCTAGAACAACGTTGTTGGCGTTTTTAGATTATCGACGAAAGGGAAATCAGACGGTTACAGTGGTGCCTCGATAGCGGACGCACGACGGGTCCGCATCGCGACCATTATCGAGGCAGGTAAGTGTCCCGATCCTCCACGTCTTCGAATCTTCGTTCATTTACCTTCTCCGTTCTCCAATCAACCAAAACTGTCCCAAAAGACGGAAATCGTGTACCATCGAGACGCTACTCTAATAGCAAACTCCCGACTACAAAACAACGTCGATGAGAAAAAATTCACGTATCGCAACATCCACAAGCCCGAGCTCTCTACAAACATCCAAAGCCACTTTCGAGCGTGTGGAAACTCACTAGAAAATGCTGTACCAAGCGTACTCCGTAACGTTCCACGATCTTTGCCACTCACGATCCGCATCCACATGCCAAGAATCTATTTCACCGAACAGACGCAACTCCATGCCATCCATCGAGCAGTCGGATCTTTACCTTCTCCTCGGCCGTTCCCCCGAAGGAAGTGGGACCGCGTGGCCGAGCACGTGAGAACTTCCCCTCCACGTGGCGGGTCGTCGGAAGCGGCGCGCTCGCGCGTCCCGCCCACAGTTGCGCCGGAATCCATGACCGCCCAAGTCGGCCTCGTGGTCGTGGCAGCGAACAGGAGAGAGTCGGCCGGCCGCACTGCCGCGCCACGGCGAGCACACCGCTCGGCTCCGGTGCCTGGCGTCGTACCCTGTCGGGTTCCGTGCCCTCAGACCTCGCAGCGACCAGCCCGCCTACGACGCCGGAGGGCTGTGCCTCCGCCGCTGCGATACCGTCGCCCCATTGGTCGACTCGTTCTACTAGCGCGCGGTCACGTGACGCTCCGCAGCCCGGTGGCACGCAGAGAGAGAGTCGACGCTCGACGCGGAGTGACGCGACCCCTCGGCCGCCAGCCGAGGCCCCCCTACTCGACGGAGGAAACGAGACAGCAGTAACAACAGAGACACGCCACGGAGAACATTGGAGAAGCGAAAAAGACCGGCGTGGAATTCGTCAGGGTGCCGGCCTCGAGTGGAAGTCACCGCGAGAGTCTCTCTCTCCTCTGGTTCTCCTTCCAGTCTCCTCCTTCGTCCCTGGTGCACCCTGTTTCCGCCACCATCGAGCTGGATCCTCGACCCCTTCCTATCTTCCGTGTCTCTCTCTCTCTTTCTCTCTCTCTCTCACTCTCTCTCTCTCTTCCTCCATTCGGTCGTGCAACCTCTCTCTCGGCCAGTTCGCCTCTCCGGCGTCGCCCTTCTCGTACCACCTCCACCTCCACCTCCTTCTCCTCCTCCACCACGTCACTCGGCAAGTGTACATCGCGATCGCTGGCTCGCCTGCCTAGCCAGCCAGCCTGCCTGCCTGCCTGCCTGGGTTCCGGCCGATCGGGACGCTCCTGGTAGCCGCGGAGTACGCGATCCGGTGCGCGCCACTCTCTCGTGCCGATCTCCCGCGACGTCCATCGATCTACCGATCTCTGTGAAAGTGTGCTTCCGCGTTTGTGCTTCGGCCGCGGGACCCGTTGTGGCTGGGTGCTAGTCGGGGTGCGTTTCCGCGGACCTGCGAGTGTTCTGTGCGCCGTCGTGCTTCGATCCAGTGAACTCGCTGAGATATGGCCCGGTGAATAAACCAAGTGGAACCGCCAGCTGTCGTCGCTGGTGCGAGTCGACCTGGCCGGGTCCTTGCTCAGCTCACGGCGGGATATTCGTGGATAGTGAGTCCGGGATTATGACTCGTGGTGTATGCTCAAACTCCAGTGCGACTTGAGTCGCTGCATGCAGTTCGTTCAAGGTGCAACGTCGTTCTCGCGTACCCTGATGACGGGGTCGAGGCTGTACTAAACTCGTTCGTCACAGCGAGGCGTTTAGACTCTAGTTACGCGAGCCAAGTCCAGTCTTTATCTATCGATCTTGGAAACGCGAAAGGTCGAGGGACCAGAACGAGGATCCTCGTTCCATGCGCGGCAAGCAACAGCTCCTGTCGTACCAGGAAGAAGACCGCGAGGACCCAACGCGGCTAGGCGGTCCCGGCAGCGTGCAGCCAGCCGGAAGGCAGCTCGAGGCGTTGGTCCACGCGGGCAAGGAGGTCGCGAGCGTGAAGACGAGGCCGACGACACCCGTCCTGGCGAACGACGGAGGGGGTGGCTTCTGGCTGGCCACGGTGGCCGCGGGGGCAGGTGCCCCGGCCGGGCTGCCCCCGCACGGGACCCATCATCCAGCCATGGACCCGACATGCGGCTCCGCGGAGACCGGCTTCATCAACAGCCAGCCCTCCATGGCGGAGTTCATGACCGCGTTGCCCCAGCTGGCCGGTGACGCTAGTCTCCAGCATTCGCCGGGAACCGGAGGATCCATCAGCCCTGGATCCCATCATCCTGGCTACCATTCGATGATGGATCCTCACGGGGTCGCCGATCCGTCCGTCAACGTGCCCGAGTATCCGTGGATGAAGGAGAAGAAGACCACGAGGAAGAGTAACCAGCAAGGTAAGCGGTCTTATGGTTGGGGGAGAGGTTAGGGGAGAAGTTTCGACAGAGAATCAGAGTAAACGAAGAATTTATGGTTGATACGAGTCGAAATTGAGATATAATAATGGCAGAAAATTGAAACGTAAAGGGAACAGGAGGCACATAGATAATTAATCCTAGGGATTTTTATGTCCCTAAAGGGGTGACGTATTTGGGAATCCTGCTCTTTGAATTTTAATTGATACGAGTTGTAAAATGGATCTGGAAGACATCCCACGCGAAAATCGGGAGACGAAATTACTCTCTGCCATGTAAGTCTCGTCGTGAATTACTAGGGGACCCTAGAATATGATTCAGGGGTTCGCTCGGTCCCAGTCGCGCTGTAAGGGTAGCCCGACGAACGTTCGACTCAATTAACGCGGGTCCATAGAATTCGACGTGTACCCACGAACGATTATCGTTCTTACCCCCCAACTCTGCGACCTCTCTGCGGAACTATAATCGATTAAAAATTATTCTCAACGCTCCTCTTCGCTACCCAATCAACGATACACGCACTGTGCATTAACTTTCAACCCTCCTGAAAATCGATGGCTACGAACCAATGAATCTCGAAATCACCCCTTTGCTACGGCAACGAGCATCTCGTTGTACGGCCAACAGTCATTGGAGAAAGATCAGCGATCCGTCATTCGTCAGCATCTATCAACCTCCTATTCACCGGACAGGACGTCTAATCGTCCACAATCGCGGGACATAAATCAATTACGGGACGAGAACTCGTAAACACGAGTGCGAGCAGTCCTCGAAATCCCATTCTTGCCGAATCGCCGAGAAACTACCCCTATGTGCACCTACTCTAGCCGCGTCACCAATGAGCATGAAGTCCAAGCCTACACGATTGAGGAACGATTCGTTTCGACCACTGGCTAAATGGCGACGAGGCTACCGTCCTCGGAGTCAATTAACGCCAGGATTCTCTTGGTGTGCGTTCATAGCTGGCGTAGGACGTGGTCCGGCGACACATTGCGGCTCACCACGGGGTGTCCGTTGTCCGACGGCTAATGACAGCCAGCAGCCACTCCTTTTCCTCGGCGGGCCGGCATCTGGGCCTCGTCACGTGCGAAAACCGCGCGTTTCCCAAGCATTCGTAAACATTCGCCGGCAAATTATGATGTATCGTCCGGCGGAACGTGAGTCGCCGAGGACAATCGATAGACCGATGGCCAGCACATGCGGGCCCTCCTAGAACCCTTTCAATGAGGATGAATTATCGTCTTCCGGGGCTAAGTCGTGTCACAGGCCGCGGTGAATTCGGAATCCCGTGTCTTCGACCACATTCGTTCTGGTTTGCTCGAGGTCTCGGTCGACGTCGATTAGCTTTTTGGCCAGGCTGCTGAACATTTGCGGATGGTTTAATGATAATGACGCGCGCTGCCGGGGTCACGGTTCGCGCGCTTCTGCTACCCGCGGTGCTTTTTCATCCTCGGCAGCCATGGTGCTTGATTGGGATCTTCGTGCAAGGCTCCACAAGAGGAGAAACTGTTATCGAGCAGCCGTTCGACGGTTCACGCAATTTCCTGTGGCGGTCTTCGGCTTGCGCAACCGGAAGTGGAGTAACGTCCAAGTATCGCGTTGCGCTCGAGCATCGATATCGCGAGGTGTAACTGACGAGGTGTCATCGCGTCGTCCTGGTTAATTAATGGAATTGCTAGACACGCTGGTCTTCGATGCCTGACGTCGCTGAGTCTCTGCACGTCCAGTTTCCTTTGAAAACTGCTAATGGAACTTGACTTTTCCTTCGTATTTACCTGTCACGACTGCCTGGATGACTGGTAAACGATAAAATGAACGAAGAATTTTATGAAGTATCATTTGTCTACGTATTTCGGTAAAAGAATTCAAGATAGTGTCAATATCTCGCAAGAACAAGTCATTTTGGCATTATTTTGGTACCATGTCTGCGATATTACGCGAGTTATCCTGTATTCATAGTGGAAACCGGTATAAAACTGTGTATCATACTTGGTTCCGTGAGTAACAAAATCCCGCCATCTTGAATTACTCGTTAACTACAATATTGTCCCAAAATACGTAGGTTCCGACGTTATACCGACTGTATTACTGCGCATTCGTGTCTTCTGATCTTATTTTCGATTGTCTTTGCAACTATATTGTAACGTGTTAGTAGACATGTCATATAAATATACATATGACTCGTTCACAAACTAGAGCAATTAATTCCGCACTTAGAATTCCCTGAAACTTCACTGCCAAAGTACTCGATTGACATTCCACTCCTTTATATCTCAAATAAACTTTTACTTTCCGGTTCCATGGAGTTGGCCAATTGGAAAAATAAACACCAACTACTTTCCCACCGTTGATTACCCATTATTAACTATTTTCTTCCCCTACTGGAAGAGAAATCGCGAAAACAAGTGCCAAAAGCGTATCGTCGAGTACAGAATCTTGGATCCAAAGTGTCAAAACGGTTATTTGAACACTTAATTTGTCTATAAAATATTATTGCACGTGATCTATGTGAAAATAACACGGTCACGAGGAACTCTTGACTGTCACGCAAGATGGCTGACCGAAGAACGATGGCCGCGTGAAATTAAGCAACAATAATCCGCCATTTTCTGATCCTCCGCGTCAAAGGTCAGACCACTGTCAAACCCTGCTCTCTCAATAAACAGTGACACGGTGAATGGTGGGCAGAGCAGAATCGCGATCCATTTCCCAGCAACTTGTTGGCTATTGTCGTCCCATCGAGGACCAATAAATCTAAGCCTGGCGCGGTCGTTGGACGCAAGGTCGCGCGCCGGTAGCGCGATCAAAGGGGTGGCCAGAAGTTTATGGGCGAAACGGGGCCAAAACGGGCACCGTGCTCTGTTTCCATTTATCTCGAGGCCGTTGCTCCGTCGTCGGCTCGGTTATCCGTGGAAAGTCGCGGGCCGATTCGGTCGCGGGACACGTCGGAAGATTAAGTGTTCGGCAGGAAGGTTAACCAGCCGTTGGCCAGGCGGTAACACGCGGAATCATCTGTAAATTGAGCCCAGGGCCAACGGGAGAGAGCGTCGGGACGGCCATAACTCACGCGGCCCGCTCTCTGCCACCGATCCTCTCTTCGTCGTCGGCTGGCTCCGACTCTCTCTCTCTCTTTGCTCTCCCTACTGGCCTTTTGCCTTCGAACCCTCTCTCGCTGGACCTTATCGTCGCGCTGGACACCCCCTCGCGATCACCCGACGCGCTGCGAGAGGATTTTAAGACGTGGAGGGGGTGAAGGTTGAAGTGCATCGAGGGTTGAGTGAGAAAAGACTGAGTTTTCGGGGTTTGCATGATTTTGTGGCAGGTTTTGTTGTAAACAGTTGAGTAGAGGGATTTGTAAGATGTGGAAGGGGTGGATGATGAAGTGCATCGCGAGTTGATTGAGAAAAGACTGTGTTTGTGAGTTTTTCTGATTTTATGAAGAGTTGTGTTGATGAACTGTTGAGTGCAGGGAATTTTAAGATATTATAGGGGTGGAAGATGAAGTGGATCACGAGTTGAATGCGAAGAGACTGAGTTTTTGGGATATATGAGAGAATTTTGTTAATTAGTGGTTGATTGTAGTGATGGATTGCGAATAAAGGAGAAGAAACTGTGATTTCTTTGGATTTCCTAACTTTCTAGGTGGTTTTGTTGGTGAATAGTTGAGTAATGGGGGTTCTGAGATATAAAGTGTGCGGTAGATAAAGTGAATTATGAACTGAAAAACAAAGGACAGAAAAGACTAACAATTCATTGGATTTCCTGATTTTTTAGGTGGTTTTGTTCGTGAATGATTGTGTAGAGGGAATTCTAAGATATAAAGTGTGTGGCAGATGAAGTGAACTATGAACTGAAGAACAAAAAACAGAAGAAACTGATAATTCTATAGGTTTTCTGATTTTCTAAGTGGTTTTGTTGGTGAATAACCGAGTAGAGAGGATTCCAAGATATAAAATGTGCAATAGATGAAGTGAACTATGAATTGGAAGACAAAAGAATATGATTTTATAAGAAATTCTATAAATAAATAACAGAATTGACTGAATTTTAAGACGTGGAGGGTTAAAAATGGAAGATGAAGTGAATTACAAGCTGAATAAGAAGACACTGCAAGCTTTTCCTCCTACGATTTTCTAAGAGAACCTGTATTTTTTATTTTAGTATATGAAATACTAAAGACAATTACACAGATTCGTCGAACCAAAGACTCTACGAATCTCCGTATTAAATTTTTGTGCCCTCGTGGGAAGGTTTATCGATAAATAATCGAGAACGAAAAGAAATTCTGAGTTCCTTGAATTCTTATAATACTAAACGAAGGAGTGTTAATAAATAATTGAGTTTTGAAAATTCTGGGATGTAGAGTTTCCATATAAAAGATGTAACAGACAGAGAAGGGTTGAATAGAAGATCGCATAAGTCGTTAAAGGGTTGCTTCTATTACTATTGTTGCATTCCTCTAAGAAAATGAATTCCGTCGTGCACTTTCCCGTTTTTTCCCCGCAGGACTTTCCCTCGTTAGTACATCGTCACCGTCTGTGTCTCTACGTGACTCCATTGCCATAATTAAGCAGCAAGAAAACGTCGCGAAGGAACGACGAAGTGTCAAGCATGGCATTGTCAAGCCTCAGACAATCTGGAAATCTAACAACACAATGATTTCGAGTTCCTTCAGATTGATCAACATCTGTTACCAGACTACGGTTTCAATTGTTTTTCAGCCGCCTGAAATTTCAGGAATTCATATCCCGTCTGACGAGGTCGTTAAAAAGCCTACTTCCATTATTACTATAATTCTGCGGAGATAATCGCGGACTGTAAATGCTTCGCGAGAACCATCAGGTGTGATTGGTCATACTGTAATAGATTCAGCTTCTTTGAAGCATTGAACAATGACAAAGTACGCGCAGAGTGTATTCGTAATTCGTTAAAATTTGTGGACATTTGTCGCGTTTACAAATGGGATTACGTTGGATAGAATG